TTTCTGCTTTTTTTTTTTTTTTTCCCTCCCTTCCCCCGCTCCTGGTTTTTGTCTGGCAGCTTTTCTAGCGAGCGGGCTGGTGTCACCTGGGCCGGGAGGAGGGCGTCCTTGCCTCCTGCGCTGCCTGAGCAAAAAGCCGCTTTTTTGCCTTTTGCACTTAGACAGCATTGCGGGTGTTGTAGTGTTTTAAGCTAATTATTGTTTTTTCTCTGGTAAAGATGCCAATGCAATTTGAAGGTGTTTCTAGTAGCATCCCAAGAGTTGTCTTCTGGACAACTTGAAGATGCTACTTCAGGCTTATTCAGCCCAAGGTAACTTGTTATTTAAGTAAATTTTCCATTCATTATACACCTGGATACTTTGAGAGGCGAGTCCGTAGGCGTGCATTAAAAATCAGAAGAGACCAAAATAAATTTCCCAAGTAGTTTCTTTTTATTTCTGCTGCATTAAATAAGATCTCATTTTCATTGAGATAAATATAACTGTTCAGTTACTTTACATATCTGAGTTTAGAAGGACTTTGCAGTTGTTATTTCTACACAGAAAAATAACCCCACTAAAGGCATCCAGGATACAGTTATCTCTATATGGTGTAGGTTGTTTTAATTTTGATGACTTTGATATTGTTTTGCAGAGGTGCTGGCCAAGAAGTAGGAAGGTCATGCATTATTCTGGAGTTTAAAGGAAGAAAAATAATGGTAATTATTGCAAGAATGTGTTAGTATGCCCTCTCATTGTGGTAGTTCAGATCACAGAAAGATGTCATAGGTTAAATCGATCTCTGCCACTGTGCTAGAAGAGGCATGTTTTGTACCTTTCTGGGACAATTTAGCATATATGATTGTAGGCATTACAGAGGCTGTTCTGTAAAAGAAATCTGTATCCCCAAACAGAATGTATGTGTCTGAAGCATAGATTCTAAAATCTGCACATATTAGGTTTCAGCAGATGCTAAGGTTAATGCTTACCAGCAGTTATGTGTAAACAGTCTTGTATAAACATGTACATGTTCCCTCTCCCTTTTCCAGTTGTATTCTCAGATGGTGGCTGAAATAATACCTGACTCTACAGAACCAGTGTATGCATGTTGAAGTGTGAATCAAGGCTTGCATAAGTACAAAATTAGAAACAAAGACTGGGATCTTTTGAAAGATGATCAGTTTCCCTGTAGAGATAAGTTATTTAGAAAGAAGTCCAAGATGTGAAAACCAATGCTAAAAGCAGTGTTTAAGGAAAAAATACTTCTTTTTCATGTTGGTAAAAGTTACCAGTCACTAGTAACTATATGTTAGACCACAGTAGAAGAGGGTTTTTTTATATGTTCTGTTAAAAGCTTCTACGTTTCTTTCATTTTTCAGCTTGACTGTGGAATCCATCCTGGACTGGAAGGAATGGATGCTCTTCCTTACATTGATTTGATAGATCCTGCTGAGATTGATCTCCTCCTAATTAGTCAGTGAGTTGCACCTAAAAGAGCAAATATACTGAGGTTGTGGTCTGAGCCGTGTTTGCTTGTAGGTTATTAAGAGAGTCTGAAAATAGGTGTTACATAGATGGTAATGGTATGACAAAATTTTAGTTTCCAGCTTTTTTTAAATTAAGGATGTTCAGTCACTTTTGGCATTACAACTCTTCTTGAAGCTCACTGCGATGTCTGACTTTTTTTATAACCTGGCCTGCTTTAATACCATTGTGGCAGCTTCTAGAATAAGTTTTCTACATAAAGACTGCTGAAAATTATTGGTTGTGGTTTTTGCTCTGTTGGCTTTGAATGAAAAATGTTCTCAGAGACTTACACAAGCTTTGAATGTGGTTTAAATATTGCTTAGTGGCTGAGAGACAAGGAGAGCCATTTCTAAATGATTTAACCAGTCATAACTGGGTCTAAAAAATCCCGAGTTTTCATGGTATGTGCTTGTCTTACCTATATTTCAAAAGTACCTTCTTAAGATAGGTCAAAATAGAAGTGTGGCCAGATAATTTTATCGTACTAGTTCATGTTTTAATCTATAGTGTCCAACATATACATTTAGGATCACATCTGTTATCTTGTTTTGTTTTAGTATCTTTGACATTTATTGTGTTCCTGTTATATTCTCCCTCTAAACTTTAAATTACAAAAAAGGTAATTCTGAAATTATATGGAGAAAACCTTTGCAATTGATGGAGAATTTCCTGCATTACTCTTATCCTTTTCTTGGCGATGTTTCTAGTCACTAGTGTACAGAATATAGACCAGCATAGTAAACAATGAGGTTTGAAATTCTGTTTCTGGATTTTCATGACACTATGTTAATCCAGTGAAGTAGTGAATTATATAGTATATATTAGTTTTGTGCAACGTTAATGTATTAATTGGATTTGTGTGTCTTTCAAGTTTCCATTTAGATCACTGTGGAGCTTTACCATGGTTTTTGCAGAAAACAAGTTTTAAAGGAAGGACATTTATGACTCATGCCACAAAAGCTATTTACAGATGGCTTCTTTCAGACTATGTCAAAGTCAGGTAAGTTGTCCCATGGGTTTTCTCTTCAAGTCCTCAGTTATTTCACCTGTATATCCAATAGGAAACTTAAGATGAACCCACCAAAGGTGTCTGAACCTGGATCTTGCCACAAATATCAACATTATAACCAGGTTAGAAGTAATGAATCATCTTACTGTCTCATGGACAATGTGTCTCTCAGACAATTTCCTATCAGTAGGGGGAAAAAAAAAATCTTTCCTTCTTTCATCTTTTAATTTGTCTGACTTGGACCTTTAATAGAATCTCCTTTTTTCCCCATCTGTCTCTCTTAAGACACTCTTGTTCTCATGCTTTTTAATGTCTTATTTTTTCTTAAGCTTCACAGAAGTAGTGAATTTTAAGCCCCTAAATATACAAATCACTCTTAAGAACAAGGTCAGATTAAATATTAAATATACAAGGAGTGCTCTGCTACTTACATGTGGTTGAGGTTTCTTCTGTCTTTTTTTTTTTTCTTCTGTTACATGCCTTGACGCATCTTTTCTATGTGAATGCAGTAGTCCTGAACATAACCTCAACTCAGCAGATTCTAGCTTGGGTCAGAAACCTGATAAACAGTCTTCTTTTAACTTGTTTGTTCTGGGCTGATGGTAAAAAATGTGGTTTAGTTAGGTTTCTGAGGACAAGATAAGTGGCAGATCTCTGTCCAGGGATGGAAATCTGTTGGTACTTTTAGATAAATACAGAACAGATTCTGAACTGAAAAGACTTATTTTACCTCTGCTTAGTTGAACCACATTAGAGTACCAGGACTTAATTTGTAACGTGGGAGATGTAGCATTACTGAATGGAAGTCTTAGTGTCAGTGGGGAAAAATCCAGGGTGCTTTTTTCCAACTGTTAAATAATCTGAGCTGATAAAATGAGCTGATATTTAGCCATTTCACTTATATCCAGTAATATATCAGCGGATGACATGCTATATACAGAAACAGACCTCGAAGAAAGCATGGACAAGATTGAGACCATCAACTTCCACGAGGTGAAAGAGGTGGCAGGAATCAAATTCTGGTGTTACCACGCAGGCCACGTTCTGGGAGCAGCCATGTTTATGATTGAAATAGCTGGTGTGAAGGTATTTTCTTTTTATAATAAAGTTGAAATCAAGCCTAAATTCTAATGTAGTCATTGATTACTTATTCTTGTCAGTTAAGCCCCACCACTGTGGCTGGAGCTGTCAAATAGACTTGGACTCAAGTCAAAGTGGGAGGCCTTGACTTAGAGCATGTATTTTCTTATTGATTAGAACTAGCAACTGACATGTGTGTTGGACCAGGTAGGATGTTTGGATTTTACAGGAGTGAATTATGACTCAGACCTGGAACCAGTAAACATGTAGTTTTTATTGCTGGTCTGCTCAGAGGTAGCTGATAGCTGAGGCAGTCTTACAGAAGCTGCATTTTAGTAAAATCTATGAACAGATGTTTGGTTTTGTAATTCTGATTTACCATGTCTGCCTGTCTTGAGTGCTTAAATGGCATTTGTCAGAGTATGTGAGTTATGTTTTTCTCATAATATTCTTATGCTAAAGTACCTAAAGAAATAGTATTATTATTAGCACAGAGATTAAATAAGTCATCATATAATCACAGGCAGCACTGTGTCAAAACCAGGTATTTCAAGCTTATCTCATGAATTGGAGTTCAGTAATTTAATCACTGCCCAAGGAAAGTGTCATACAGCCTTGAAAAGGAAAGAGATGATGGTCCTGAGGCTTGCTGTCGAGTAGGACTTTGTTCATAGTTTAATAATGATCGAGAATGTTAAAAGTTTAAAATTTAAAAAAAAAGTCTATAGAAATAGAACTGAATGTACAATGTTTACAGTTAAATTTAGATATCTTACTGCCTTCTGTTTATTTGTTTTCTGATTAAGGCATGATGGAGAAAGAGATTTCCCTCTTACTGTGCATGACTTGAACAAATTGGGTTTTAATATCCATTATTTTCTTTACTCTTCTGTGAAACAAATGAGGAATGTGATAATAGGTTACCTGTAGACTAGTTATCTGCTGTTGCTGACTGTATGTTTTGTTATTATTCATGTTTTCATCAGTGGAATGATTATTAAGTAAAAGATATTCAGTTTTGAAACCATCATATTGGGCACAGAGAGCTGTGTTCCACCCTGAGTTAAAAATTGGTAACAGTTACAAATTACTTCTTGGTATAATGGGGAACATGATCTATTCTGTTTGGAAAATCTGCTAGATCACAGCCATTTCTGTAGTATCAGAAAATCTTAGGATTTTTAATAAGTAATTTTATTGGACT